CTGTGTGAATGAGACTAAACTTTTATGTGGAGGTGTTCAGATTAATGTTCCTGTTTTTGTATGTGTGTAATAATCATTATCCTTCTTGTAGGCATGCCCCCCCCCATATGCATCCCAAACCCTTCATTAACTAAACATGACCCTTAAGAGCATGATTAGCCTCAATTCAAGACAGGATGTCGGAAGCCATCAACCGAGGGGGAAAAAATCCATTACTATAATTGCATTGAGCTGAGGGAGGGAGGGAGGAGAGATGGAGGGAGGGAGGGAAGAAAGGAAGGATACAGAGATGGATAAAAAGGAAGAAAATGAGTGAGGCTGAGGAAGGGTGGAGGCAGAGGGCTGTCAGAGATGCAAGGATGAAGTGAAGGAAGAAAAGAGAGAGAGAGGATGGAGCATGGCGGCTCAGAATGGGAGGGGGTGGGGTGACTATGAACAGATATCCTATATAAACGTATAGCTGCTTCTTGTGGACCGACCCCCCCCCCCCCGCGTCGGAGCACTCAGTTGGTACAGCCCTCCGACAATAAAACCACCTCCACTTAGTCTTGATGTGGCACTTTCACTCCATTCTCTGGCTGACACGAGTCACCGGCCTGCTGGAGGAGGCGAGGAGGCTGCAAGCGGACCTCCATGCCGGCTCCTTAGGGCACAGAGAACACGCCACAGCCTGGCGCCCTGTGATGCTGCCGTGACACGGCTGAGTGGAGAGATGGAAGGAAGGTCCAGGTCTCCTGAGCTGTCAAAACTCAGATATCCTGATGCGAACAAAGAGACTAAAAACTATAACGTACCATATGATTTTCTTTACCCGTCACTTCCTGTCGTCTCGTCTGTCTGCGGCGGCGGCGGCGGCATGAAGCCTCTCAGCACGAGTGAGTATTGCTCGCCTACACGGATACGCCCTCGCACACTTACCCAGACTTTTTTAGTCACCTCTGTCTTTTTACTGCTGGGCTGGTGATTGTACGGTGTGTGTGTGTGTGTGTGTGAGATGCAGAGGATTTTCTGAATGAACATTTATCTCAGGGAATAAACATAATCATCCTAAATGAATGAATATTCGAATCTAAGAGGTGTTGGTGTGTCCTCGAGTGTTTTTTGCTACGCACCAACCAGAAAGGAAAAGAAGGGTGGGGTTTCTCCGGGTCAGATCATCTCACCGCGTCACGGTTCCTTACTTTTACTTTCACAACGACCTGCAGAGTGCAGAGCTCCCTTTACTGTGACTGTTGTCCGGTACAGCTCTATAATCAGAGTAAGGTCATTAACATGCAGTTTCACCGTGTTCATGTGAAGGCGTAGCACGACTACCTTCACCAGGACCGTTAGTCAGCATGTAGGAGGAGCTTTTGTCTGAATTTTCATGCGTAGGTTTGAGTCGAAACACATTTTTTAATTATAAGACTTTGTGTGATTTGATATCCTGAAATATAAGAATATTTGACTGTTTTTCTTTGATTTAATGTAGTTTTTTATTAGAATTACAATCTTGTAGGAAAATATATATATTGATGGGTCAGATTTGGCCTCCTACTAGCAGTTTAACGTTTACTACCCGTGTTAACGGGATAACTGCCCGAGTTGCTAGTTATTGTTAATTTAACTGAATGCGTTATTTCAGTAGAAGCTTCTGGGCTGTCTGACCAGCAGGCTGTGGGTGTTCACCGCGGGTTGAAGGTCTCTTTGGACTCGCAGTACAGGGGTGGGGCAGTGGAAAAGAACAAATCCCCTAATACTGGCGTCGTTGCGCTGGTAGCTACTTTTGCTAAAATGTTCATGAATCTTTTCATTCGGGTGTCACACGGGACTCTTGAGCCAGATCGGCTGTTTAAACAGAAGCTTTTTGCTTCTCAGACAAATGAGGATTTTTGGCTGCAGCTGTTGGCAAAGTTGACGGTTTTTATTTGGCACAGAAAACGGCGAATAAGCAGTTTTTGGCATTGCAAATGCAGCTGGAAACCTGCAGCAGAGTGACAGCAATGGAAAATCCTGCATTTCCTGTTGAAGCAAAAATGCTGCAGCCACATCCCGGAGGTGTTGTCCAGTGTGCCGCCGATGGTTTGGTTGGAGAGCGCAGCACGCGCTCGGCTACTGCCTGTATCTAGGAAACAGAAACGATCTCATCACACACTAAAACAGCCATCTGACATTAGATTTATGTCTTTTGACCTTTTTCCCTCCTATTTTGGCTTTTTTCATTTTTTCTGTTCTCCAACTTTCCAGTGAGCATTGACCTGAGATGGTCTCTGACAAGAGTAGATAACTCAAACTATTTCTCCTCGGCTCCCGGGAACAAATGTGATCAGAAAATAAAGCAACTAGGTGAAGGAAGCTGCATCACCATGTTACCCAAAGGGCAAATGTTGCCGTAGCAGTGAAGCATCTTTGCTCTGAAGTAACTGAATTTCTTTTGCAGATTAAATTGGAGACTTATCAGATCACCTCGATGGATACGTATCTGTTCTCCTTATTGAGAGCGCCGTTACATTTGGTCACATCTGCTCATTTATTTGCAGAAATGAGGCTGCAGACTTGAAAGCAACCTTTACTCTGCTTTACTGTTGCTTGTAGATGCTAACTATAGCCCTCATCAGTCCAGAGCACCTGCTGCCAGTTCTTATGGTTTCGTGCTTAGTGAGATTTCTTGGCCTGGCTTCCCCTCAGAGATGTAAAGTTTTGGCTGCAGTTCTTCCACAAAGGCCACTCCTGGCTAGACTTCTCCGGCCAGTAGAGGGGTGTCCAAGAGTCCAACCAGATCCTGCCAGTTCTGAGCTGATGGCGCTGCTGGGCATCTTCCAGTTTTCACTGGAAGTGGTCATGGAGTCTTTCATTTGGTGCACAAATATGTCTTGGCCAGTTTTCCACAACCTCATCTTGGTAGCAGAGTCTGGCTGTTCCCCACCCAGTGTAAGCCTCCTGCTCACTTATTTCTGTTCCTGATGCCTATGTATGGAAATTATTGTTTCATATATTTGGTTACATCTATAAATCTATTTTGTTGTAGTTCTATAAAGTCATTGACTTTTATGCAAGTGCATCTAAACCGATGGATGTTGCTTTGAAGGCACGCTAAATGTTTATCGATGACATCAGACCAGTTTTTATGCAAGGTATCCGCGAAACCTTAAAACGTCTTTAATTTGCTTTTCCAAATTTAAGGCCTGAAAAATCCTTAAAAATGTCAAATAACCCTTAAATACAGTTTCCAAAGGTCTTAAATTACCAAAGACCCAATAAACAAGATTTTCGTAAATTTCTAGTTGGTGTTCAGCGTTTTTTATGTACGATGTTGGCGTAAGCGGAACCGTACACATTCAGCTGGTTGTGAAAGGGGGCTTTTTTTAGATGAGCACACTAGCTGGTTAAGCTAGTGGGAGCTTGCGCCATGGGGAAGTGCAAGTTTAATGCTAACTGGATGGCTAATCCCACGTTAGCACCGGTTCCAGGCAATAGCTGGAAATTATAGCTTAAATTAAAATGTAAAAAATAGCTTAAATTTGGTCAAAGTGGCCTTAAAAAAGGTCTTAAAAAGTCTTAAATGTGGCTCCTTAAACCTGCAGATACCCTGTTACGACGTCATGCACTTGTTATGTTTATATTATGTGTTGCGTTTTAGACACAAAGGTGTAGTCTACATGCTGTGTTTGTTTTATTCGTTTATCTTCTTTTCACCAGTCTGCTTCTGAAACAACAGATGGCGTTCCCTGGAAAACCCTGGGGTACATCGGCATGTGTAGTCTTAAATTTTATCATGGTTGTTTTTATTCTCTGGCCCACTTTGTGTTTTTATCGTAAAACGTGTGAATATAACATTCTACGCTTTTCTAGGATTGGTAGGACTTCTGAATCTCAGCAGTAGTGATGAGATTTATGCACTACAAACTTTTATATAGTTTTCCTAGGGATGGACAATATATCGGCATCAATGTCGGTATCGGCCGATGTGAAGTCATTTTGTAACATATCGGTTCGATAAATAAAATCGGGTCGATATTAACAACCAGTGTTTTTTCCATCTTGTCTCCGTTTGCTTGCCTGTTTCAGAGGGTGAGGGGGTGATGTGTAATTGTTTAATCATGTGAACAGTGAATGAAATCAGAACTGTAAATATGTGTGGTGTGTGTGCATAATAACGTCAATTCAGCTTTAATAATTTTCATTCTATACAAAATCTGCTGATTTTAGAAGCATTAATGTCAGTTTATCAGTTTTCAGCCATAACTGATCTTGATATCATATATTGGTATCGGCCCAAAAATTTTCATATCGGTGCATCTCTGAGTTTCCCAAAATGTAATCCATAAAAAGTAAACCTTTGTGCTTCTGTTTTACTTTGATTTGACCTCAAAGACGAGGTAAAAATGGGATGAAATTAGCAGGAATCGGATAGCAATAGCATTCCCAGTAGAACAAGCTGGAGTCTAATGGTCTCGGGTAATGTGGCGAATCCCACCTGGTGCATTTTCTTCCAGCGGGAATGATTTTACTCTCAAAGGATGACGCCAGAATTACCATGTATGAGTTAAGATGGGAGTAACAAGAAGAACCCTCCTCGGGGCCCAAAGGTCGTACAGCTTGACTTTAGCTCAACGCTTTCATGACTTCATGAAGGTTTCCAATCTGCAGGTGTAGGCTTGGACGTTCACCTCACATTTAGTTGGTTTGTTTTTCTGAATGCATGATGAGCAGGTTTTCAATGCTTACAGTGAATTATTAGTTCACCTTAGAAACGAAGCCGAAAGGTGAGCACATTTGCAGTGGCAGCCATTTTGAGATGGAACCAAAATGGAGGCCAAGCTGATCAGCATCACAGTGTAGAGTTTGTACAAAAGCTTGTGTGTCGGTGGTGTTTGTATAGAAAATGTGTTATTGGAAAAGGTTGAGAAGAAGGGTTTTTTGTTAGTATATGAGGAGAGCTAAAGCTAAAGTTGTATTTTTAACAGTAATGAAGGTATCGTCTCATCTTTCTATGTTTATGTTGTCTTCCTTGTTCACAGGGCTTCTTGAAGAACGAGAGGGACAACGCCCTCCTGTCCGCCATCGAAGAGTCTCGTCACAGGGTCAGTATCTGTCCACTCTGATGACTCTTCTACATCCAGCACGACCGTGTAATCTGATTGATCTGTTTTGAATCCAGCGTGCAAGTGTAGGACCCCAAACCTGCAGAACACACTTTATGACACGCGTGCTCTGGTGATGTTCATGAAGAACCGAGAGCAAATCAAAGGCTTTACTGTTTCTTTGTTTTACTTGATCAAATCCAGATGTTTTATCTCTGCGCTGTGCATTAGGATCAGCACCTAACAGGCACATTTAAGTCCTTCTGGTGGGAACCTTTGGGGAATGATTTTGAGATGGCCTCCCTGATGTGCAGAGCTAATAGGCCCTGGGTTTAAATAGCTGCCAGTCCTATTATCTTTCTGCTCCCCGAGTGAGGAAGGAGGGCGTGCGTACGAGGGTGGAAACATAATGCAGTCAGGATTTCAGAAATAAAAGCAGAATAATTTTTTTTGCAGATTTTTATCTGACTGCTTGAGCTTTTACAACAAAGGAAATGTTAATTGAAGCACAGAACCCTTTGGACTCAGTAGACGGGTGTTCTGCTGCATGTGTGTTATCATGGTGAGAGCGATTATATGCAGCTGGAAAACACGCTTGTCTGTGTTAGCGTGCTCTTGATCTCTGATTTAGTTTTTCTATTTGATGCATTTTTAAAACCTCCTCCAAAGGAACCAGTTAACACAGAAAATGGTGGCTCCAGTCTAGATTTATGCCTCCCTGAGCTCTAGATTCAATTATCTCATGCTCCCATTATCTGACTTTTACGTCCCTGTGGAAAGTTAAAATAGACTCAACCGTGTCCTGGTGGAGTTCTTCCATCTTGACGAGGTCTGCTGTTAAATCTGATGTGTGGGTTTGAGCTTCTTTTGTGTTGATTACCTGAACTGCTGCTGTTCAGTGGGCATATTTGAACCTGGCTGTGCAGGTGAATGCATTTAGCCCTTTTGGCTTTTCTCAGACGTTCCTGTTGGCTGAAGAGTACCATCGTGAGTCCATGCTGGTTCAGTGGGAGCAGGTGAAGCAGAGAGTTCTGCACACTCTACTAGGAGCTGGAGAAGATGCTCTGGACTTCAGCCAAGATCTGGAGGTACAAACACAGTTTATGAAGTCAAAAGAGAAAAAAAAAAAAGGTCTTGTGGGCTCTCCAAAAACACATTCATTCATATCAGTAAGCTACGTTTGATTTTAAGATGCTTGAATAAATGATTCTGTATTTATGTTTAAAGGTGCATTATGTAAAAATTAAGTAAAAATGACATCCTGCGTTAAAATTTGGTTACTTTAAAGGGACTTTACGGAAGGCGCGCATGCTGTACATGCACACTCCTTAACGAAAATAACAGCTGAGACAGTCCCTTGTGTGTGTGTGTGTGTGTGTGTGTGTGTGGGTGGGGGGTGGGGGGGGGGGGGCGGAGGACAGGAGAACGTGCAGCTAATTAATTAAATAATTTGGTTCTGTACCTTTCTCTTCAGCACAGCCGACAAAGGTTTATGATGGGTCAGTCCTCCTGCATGCTCAGATCATTCCCTTCCCTTGCTTGAAAAATTGTTCCGAAATGAAAGTTGAACCCACATCTTTTTTATCTGTGAATTCAATGCCGTTCGACGAGTCTCAAATAAAAATTTGGGCATCTTACTGTAAAAAATTATCATTAATGTAAAAAATAAACTCTAAATAAACTATGTTCACATCCAGAATCAAACCCAGGTCTTCTGCATGAGAGTCAGACATCTTACTAGGTGAGGCGCCAGTAACGTCATTCGTATCTGTAACATTTATATCCTTGATGACAGCTGAAACAACGTCAAACCAAAGAACGGTTCGGAGTGAAAATGGCTATTTTGTTGCTAATTTGCAGGAAATATCTAGAAGAAAGTTCTACAGAAAGTAGCTAAGGGTCCTCAGAAATGTAGCTAGCTTTGTCACTAGGCGTTAGGAACAGCGACAAAGTGGCACTGCCTCTCTCTCTGCTGCTAAAGCTACGGATAGCAAATGCTACGGGCGATGCCTGAGCGTGAACGCGCATGAAGCAGCCTGCTCGACCCGAGCATCTCTCTTTTTCTGTCATTTTACAGAAAAACAGGCAATCACAGTAAAAATGCCAGGGCTCATTCTACAGGACCAGGGCATTGCAGGAGAACGTATGAAGAAGACATTTATTATTTCTATACATGTTTTGGCTGTCTGACTTCCATAATGCGCCTTTAAACAACTCCGGAGCTTTCTTCGGCTGAATTGTTGGCGCTGTGGCATTAGCTCGCAGGAGACACGGCGCCCCCGCACTCACTGATGGTAAACAGTTGCGTCCCTCCTTCCTTGCTTTGAAAAGAGATAAACTGACGCTCCCCGCAGCAGCTGGATTTGAAGTGTTTCAGTATAACCTTCCTTCCAAAATAACAGAAACATTAGACTCTGTTGGGATTTTTCACTATATTCTTACATGCTGCACCTTTAATATGATGGCTGTAGGCTTCATAACACAAACTTCGCTTCTGTTTGTTTGGATAAAGATAAAAATCTTTCCTTTAACACACGTTCATGATGAGACTTTTATCTGATGGTCTCCATTAAACAGGTAAAGCCCAGAGAGAACGAGCCAGACTTGGTCTACTTTCATTTGTGTCTGCAGCTGCGACTCTCGTTTTAGCTGCTGGGTGGTTTACTAAGGTATTCATCCAAAAGCAGCTATTTTAAAGCGTATTTGAACTTTCCGGGCTGAAAAAATCTCTTAGAAAATCATTTCAAATCCGATTTCTTTGACACTCATAACTGTCAACATCTAAGCTGACCAAAATAGCATCCTCATCTAAGAATCGTGGAGGTTATTTTTAACATCGTCCTCTGGTGTAAAGTGGGATTTGTGTGCTATGGGAGCATATCCCAGCATGCAGTGGGTAACACCCATGTGTGCTGGGGTTTTACCCACTGTTTGACCTCATGTGGACACGCAGGTTTCTCAACCCCCAGAATGAAAAAGCATCCATCAGAAATGGTCGGTGCTGCAGACACACTCGAGTTGTGCAGCAGATGGTTGGTGTGTCTGCTGCTCGTGGCTGTGAGGAACGATTATTCTTCTGTGGACTGCAGCGCAGCTGTGAAGTCATCTGTGGCTTTTTGGTGTGTTACAGCCGAGCTTCGTGAGTGAAGTGACAGCTCCAGGGAGGAGTGCACTAGATAGTGTGGAGGTGGCTTATGGACGGCAGGTGAGTCAGCAGCAGTCTGTCTGTCTTCATGTTCACTGAAATTTAAAATGCAGCTTCAGAGGTTTAGTCTGAGAGCTGCAGATTTACGGGTTGTGCTGTTGTGTGCCTTTTGTTAAATTAACATCATTCTAACAACATTTCCTCTTACATTTCTGTCCTGAGGAAGCAGTTTTAGTGTGTGAGGCAGTCGGCTCGGTCATTTGGTTGAAATCAGGGTCAAAGCAAGCCAGGAAGTGACAGATCAAAGATATTGATTCATATGGCTGTAGAGGGGGTGAAACCTCTTCATCGCTCCCTCTCATCGTCCTGTCTGACCTTTTGTTTTTCCCTCCATGCTTTTTCTGGATCTGCTGGATGACACCGTGTGTGTGTTGTGTGTGTGTGTGTGAGAATGTGTCGGCACATTGCGTGCGGTGTCATTTGTCTCATTTTTGTTATCCTCTTTGATGACCTCTTAAATGTTTTGATCCTCTTTCTGCTGTTTTTTGTTGTGAACCACTTGGCTCGATGGCCTTAGGGCCGTCGTTTGGCTGTGAACCTGATGAGAACTTTCAGTCGTTCCTCGCTTTGTCTCATTCAGATCTATTGTTTTAACGAGAAGATTGTAAATGGACACATTCAGCCTAATCTGGGGGATTTGTTAGCTGCAGCGGCAGAAAGTCTGGATGACAAGGTAAGAAACGTGGTTTTTGTCACGATGGGGGCGATTTGTATCCCCATCAAACCTTAGCATCCAGGAACCATTTTCAGAAGTCAGGAAATGTGTGTTTTTGTTTGTGATGTCATTGTTTTCTCACCTTCTTTAACACAAAAATGATTTCCATGGCGTACATGAATTTGTGAACCAGTCGGCATGCTGCAGCATTTTTATATTCAGATTCCTGTCATGAATAAATGGTCTTAACCCCCCCCCCCCCCCCCCCCCCCGCTGTCTTTATGGGTGACCCCGCCAGGAAAGTCGACCATTGAGCAGGATTGGGTCCACGTGGCAGGGGTGAGGTGGTGCTCACTCCTCACCCCTGCCACGTGGACCCAATCCTGCTCAATGGTCAACTTTCCTGGTGGGGTCACCCATGAAGACAGCGGGAGGGTTAGTTATAACAAGTTTGAGGAGATAAACCATTAATGAAGTGATTAAAGCCACACTGTGCAACTTTTTCATATTTTAATATCATTTTCTTGAGCCAGTATGTGCTAAGATGACCCTATGACCCTTTACAGGGTTAATGAAATGTCACTCAGACCCCACCTCCCTCTGTGGCCGGAGTATTGCACTTGCAACTTCAGAGTGCGGGTTTGGTCCCTGTTGGACTTGGTGAAGTGGAGCGGGCATGGCAGCGCTGGAGTCTGCTTCCAGCAGGAACAGCAGCAGCTCAGGAGGTAGAGCGGCTGTCCAGTAATCAGAAGGTTGCTGGTGGTGGCCAGAGGGACCGGTGGCGTCTGTTCGGCAGACCTCGCCTCTGTCAGTGTGCCCCGGGGCAGCTGTGGCTACATCGTGGCTCATCATCACCTGCATGCAAACGGGTGGATGAATGACTGATGGTGTGGTGAAGCGCTTTGGGGGGTTGTAGAACCCTAAAAAGGCGCTACATGAATAAAGATCGTTTAGCATTCCTGCTTGTTTTAGACAACAGCTGGTTTGTTTGAGTTAGTGATCACTCCTCCTGACCTGTAGACACTAATGAAGGCCGAGGAGACGTTTCAGCAGATAGGTTCAGGTGTTAAAAAGACGAACGCACACACAGCAAGGAGAACAGTTTCACTTTTGGTTTTATTAACTGGACACCAGGGGGCGCTAATAGCAAGCCAAAACTTCAGTCTCCCTAACAAACAAACGTTCTCTCCTGCTGTTTGAAGCCCTTTAAATAAATGATGCTCTTAGAGTCTGCTTGAGGCGTTGCAGTTTTAATATTTTTCATGAAGCTGTGTCCCCCTCTGTCCTCCAGAACGTCTCAGAGCTGTGGCTTATGGTGAAGCAGATGACAGATGTGCTTCTGGTTCCAGCCAAAGACACCCTCAAGAGTCGCACTTCAGTTGAGATGCAGATGGCCTTCGTGCGTCAGGCGCTCAGCTTCCTGGAGAACAGGTAGCTGGCTTTGGAACCGTTTCAGCGACCGCTCAAGTTCAAGCGATGCGTTTTCATTCATCTGGAGTTTAGCTGAAATTCAGGTTTTGCTGAACTGGCAGATATAAACACCACACGATGGGAACGGTCTTTGGGAATCTCCACCAGGCCCAACTGGGAGGTGTGCCTGGAACATACCAGCTGGTCCGCAGCTTCCTCAACATCAAGCTGCCGGGGCCCCTTCCTGGCATGCAGGTAAGGCTCCAACTAGCATCATCTCTCACTGGAAATCTGAGTAAAAATAGACAAAACCGTGCAAAATTAACTGTATAACCAATGATGTGCTGTGTTCTTTTCAGGGTTTCGTTTTTGGACTGAATATTTGTTAAGAACATTTCTAAGAAATGATCATTTGTAATAAATGTGTCTGAAACAGGACGGTGAGATAGAGGGCCACCCAGTGTGGGCTGTGGTCTACTACTGCCTGCGCTGTGGAGATCTGAACGCAGCCATGCAGGTGGTGAGCAAAGTGCACCACCAGCTGGGAGACTTTAAGACCTGGTTTCAGGAGTACATGAACAGCCCCGACAAACGGTGAGAACAGTTCAGATTATTTCTCTCTGTCGCTGCGAGCGTTTCCTCGCCATCGCCAGTAAAACCGCAGTTGTGTGTAATCCCTTCAGCCTCTCCCCGACTTCAGAGAACAAGCTTCGTCTTCACTACCGCAGAGCGCTGAGGAACTGTGCCGACCCGTACAAGAGAGCCGTCTACTGCCTCATCGGGAAATGTGACGTCAGTGATAACCATGGAGAGGTGGCAGATAAAACAGAAGACTACCTCTGGCTTAAGGTACGCTTTACTTTTACTCTCAATAGTGTAAAGATCAACCTTGAAACTAAAATCATCTCAGATTGGTTCCTGCTGCAGCTCCGCGCCGCTGTGTGGCTTTTAGTTGAAGCCTTCACTCGTCTCCCTGTGTTCCTTCTGCAGTTGAACCAGGTGTGTTTTGATGATGACGGCAGCAGCAGCTCTCCTCAGGACCGACTCACTCTGGCACAGTTACAGAAGCAGCTGCTGGAAGACTACGGTACGATAACGCCTTTCACTTTCATCCAAATAAAAGTGACTCCCGGATGCTTCTGCCTGTATTTTATGGCGTTTGCTGTTTCGGTGAAGCAGACTTTACGGATGTTCGATTGCTGCCTCGGGTGCCGTTTATCGTTGACATCCTTTTCAGGTTTCCTTAAATTACAAACATGCAGCTTGTTCTGAGAACCAGAACGTCTTCCAGAACAGGACGAGTGGATTTAAACCTCTTTCTGCACGCGTCAGTAAGCCTGACTTCTTTAGACGAATATTAATGCACACACCTGTGAGATCCCTTTTTGGCATCTCAACACCATTTTTTGTCCCATTTACTTTTATATCCCCATTCTCCCAGTAAGCTGAACTGCATACTCACGCATTTCTGAATGCACGCCTGTGCTGTTACAGCTATGCGAGATAAATCCTGCCATCGTAAAGGAGACAGCCAGTGAGTCGTGCCTGCACGCGTTTTCTCTTTGCAGCAACAAGCTTCTCCAAAACAAAGTTGAGGAGCAAGAAGAGCAAAGCAGCAGGAAGTCGAATGCCTCGGCGTTAATTTCCATTTAGATTTTTTCTTCTGGTTGCACAGACAAACACCGGAGGCTTGTGAATAATTCACCAGCACCAGGGCAAAAAGCCATAAATATTCCAGCATAGTTTCTGAACGTTTGGGCTTTTCCTTCACGTTTAACAGCTCACGGTGCTACAGCACCCGTACGCCTCAGCCGCTGTTCCCACCGACAGCCAGCTCAGTGGGACTCGGTTTAGAGCTGGAACAGCATTCCCAGCAGAGGGGAGCTTTTTGTGACGGTGACACGTTCACTGATTCAGAGTTAACTACAGCTGGTTATCAGCCTCCTGCAGGAACCTAAACATTGCTGTTCTTGAAACTGAGAGCAGGTTACGGTTGTCCCTGGCTGCGTCTCGCTGCCCCCGATCTCCTAAGAGTCGAAGCGACCTCTGAACCTAAGGCACAGATAGTTTCTCCTCCCAGATGTTTACGTCACCGTTGGACATAAAAGCCTCTGGTGTGGCTCTCGTTCGTTTCAGAGACCTTTCTTGTTGGAAACTTCTCAAACTATAAACAAGCAGAGTTTTCCAAACGGATGTTAAATATTCATTTGAACGTTAGCCTCCCAGTAAAAACCACCACGCATGAAAATGGGAGCGTTTGAGCATGTGACCCTCCCTCCCAGAGACAGAAGCTGTTTTCTCCTGAGTGTAGCTCTCTGTGGGCCGCTGCTGCCTGCTTCCGATAAGGCGGCATCCCTCTCCCGCTCCTGCAGCTCTGTGGGAAGGACGGCCCAAAGCCTTGTTCGGTTCTCTCCCTACGCTCATCTGCGCCGGTTGTTTGCTGCAGCGTCCCTCGCTGTCCTCCATTTTGCTTCACAGCAGGACACAAAGCCTCGAAACCTATCCTAATTTCTTACACACACTGCTGGCGCTCGGCATCCTCACCCGTTCGGTTTCTCTGCCACTCATGCGCTGCGTCCCTGTCCTCTTTTATCTCATCATCGTTGCACAGTGCTCCCTCTTTCCTCCCACTGATTTCTGTCCTCTTTAGGGCTCTCCTCTTGCATGTATAGTTGTTCTTTGTCATTTCTTGTTTGCATACTGTGCTGCAGCCCCCTCCCACACACACACACACACACACACACTTCTATGTTGCCTTCTTCATCCTTTTTCCGACTCCACATAGCCGCCCCCCCCTCCATCCTGCTGCCATGCTCTCGCTTTTTGAACTAAAATGCTGCGAGTCTGAGATAAGGCTGTAAAACGGCTGACATGGTCCGCCCTGCTCTACTCCTCAGACTTTAAACCAACAAGAGGATTAAGAATTATAATTAAAAAGTAAACTTGATGACCTGTGCTCAACAAAATGTTTTTAAATTTCTTCTGGAAAAGCCGATAAGAGCCTGAGCCGGGTGAAAGGCTTACACAAATGTGTTGCTTTAGTATTTATTTACTTACATCTGCTGCTTTTCTAATGACACAAAACATTTATTTTAAAGCAGCTTTTACTAATGCCGCATTTCTCATACTGTGTGTTTTTTTTATTATTATAAATGTTTAAATTTAAAATCTAAAGATCGTCCTCTGTTAATGAACAATGGAGCCATTTCTGGTCAGATCTTAAATAACATTCGGCAACACCTCACCTCGCTGTTTTACCTGAGCTTGTAGTGTTTTTTATCTTTGTCTTATTGTTTTTAGTAGGGATGCATCGATACTGATACTGGACCCGATACCGATTCCAGTATCGGTATCGGTAAAAGAAGAAGAAGAAAATATCATTTCTATAGCGCCTCTCATGATAAAAATCACGAGGCGCTTCGCAAAAACAAAAAATGTAAAAAAATTTAAAAGCATTTAGAAAATGGTTAAAAATATATTTAAAATGAGCAAAAAATAGACAAAATGTTAAGAAAGAGAGAGAGTGAACAGGAAAGAGGGAAACCAGAGGATCCTGAGGAAGGTGGAATAGCTGGGGAGAGCAGAATAAAGAGAGAGAGGTGAAGAAGGTCATACAAAAGCCAGCTTGAACAGGTGAGTCTTCAGCTGCTTTTTAAAGGAGACCACTGAGTCCACTGATCTCAGGCTCAGGGGGAGAGAGGTCCAGAGTCTGGGGGCCACAGCAGCAGATGATCTGTCACCTTTGACCTTTAGCCTGGTGCTGCACAACCAGTAGGCTTTGATCACTGGACCTCAGGGACCTGCTGGGGGTGCAGGGACTAAGAAGATCACCAATGTAAGATGGTGCTTGTCCATGTAAGGCCCTATAGACCAGAACCAGGATCTTGAAATGAACCCTGAAGTTGACTGGCAGCCAGTGAAGCTGGAGGAGAAGCAGGGTGATGTGGGTGTGTTTGGAAAGTTGTGTGTTAACCGATACCAGGGACCGATACCAATGCAGTTGCTTGAAAATGGCTTCCCTGTAACTTGTCATTTCTGTTCAGCTAATATTTTAGTTTTGTGATGATTTCTATTCATATATTTTACTTTTTATCGACCTCACAGTCTTTTCCTGTTGAAAGCAGAGAAGAAAATAAAACCTGTAGTCCAAATCATTGCATTTTTTTGTGTGGTAGAAATATCAGTAATCGGTATCGTCGAGTACTCAGATCCAAGTATCGGTATCGCATTGGTTTGGAAAAAAAGTGCTATCGTTGCATCCCTAGTTGTTAGTTTGTTGTATTTGTATGTGCGGCCCTTTGGACAGCTCATGTGTGCAGTTAGCACACAGATGTGTGTGTTAGGGAGGAATCTCAGCCAGCAAAACACATTTTAGCTCAACACCTGTCAAACTGGCCAATTTCTAACTGTTGTAAAGACAATTAGCTGCAGAAGCCATGTTGACTTAAAGGTTAGATATTTTTCTTACAAACAAATACAAACAAAACATTATTGCTCATCTTTTAGAGGCGTCCAGAGCAGTCTTTAGTAGCTACTCTGCTCCAGACACGAGTCACACAACTTCACTGTTTCTGATTGAAAGTGAAATGCAGCTCAAGCAGAGAAAGGCAGTGACGCTGAAACAATGCAGCTCGTCTTCTACAGAAAGTCAGTTGAACTTTGAGCCAAATATATTATATATATATATATATATATATATATATGTACTGTATATATATATATGTACTGTATATATATATGTACTGTATATATATATATATATATATATATATATATGTACTGTATATATATATATATATATATATATACACATATATATATATATACAGTACATATACAGTACATATATATATATATGTACTGTATATATATATATATACATATACAGTATATATATAGTACATATATATATATATATATATATATATATACATATATATATATGTACTATATATATATGTGTGTACTGTGTATATATTTTTTGATCATCTGACATGAACTTTGTGGCTCTTTAGGATTTAGATCTGTAGTTTTTTCACATTTGGTTTGAAGAGATGCTTTTAAAAACCTAATTATCCGTTTCCTCTGATCTTCTTGTCCAACAGGAGAGTCCCACTTCTCCGCGAGCCAGCATCCCTTCCTGTACTTCCAGGTGTTGTTCCTGACAGCGCAGTTTGAGGCGGCCGTGGCGTTCCTGTTCTGTGTGGAGAGACTTCGTAGTCACGCCGTGCACATCGCCCTGGTTCTGTACGAGCTGCGGCTGCTGCTGAAGTCGTCGGGTCAAAGCGCTCAGCTGTGTGAGTTTACCAGCTTCGGTTTACAGGTAGACTCTCAAAAACGCGACTTCAACTTTTTACGTTTTCTCTGCAGTGAGCCAGGAGCCAGGTGACCCTCCGATGATCCGACGCCTCAACTTTATCCGTCTGCTGATGCTGTACACTCGCAAGTTTGAGTCCACGGATCCAAGGGAAGCGCTGCAGTACTTCTACTTCCTACGGTACGCCTCAGTCCTTTTTAACATTAATATTCCCGCAGGCTTTACTGATGGATGCCGATCGTAATATCTGGTCTCTGCCGTTCCACAGCAATGAAAAAGACAGCCAGGGAGAAAACATGTTCATGCGTTGTGTCAGTGAACTTGTTATTGAGAGTCGTGAGGTGAGTAACCCTCCTTTACGATCCCAGCCTGCCTGTGTTGTTTGGGAGTATTTAGAGATTAAACCGTCGTATCCATGAAGTCTTTAAGATAAATGAATATTTCAGTTTCAGAAACTAAAAAAAAGATTTTCCACCGTTTTCATCCATCAGTGTGTTTCACATGAGGTCTGCTCTGATAGAAGCTGGCGATAAGATGTGATATTAGCAAACATAAAACTACAAAAACTTTAAGATTTTAGCCACTTTTATTTAACCGCGGCCCGGTCTTGCTCAGATGACCAGTATTACATGCAGCAGGGCGGTTTGGAGCAGAGCTGATTCAGCTGAGTGTGAAGGTGAGTTCATGAATACTGGAAAGAGCTTTGGGTGCCTAGAAAAGCATTCTGTAAATTATTATTATTAATATGGTGTAAAACCAGGTTTAAATGGTGACTAATAAAAGTGGTTATTACACTCGGATCAACAGCGGCTTTAAGGCTTATTTAAGAGCAACAGACTGAGCGGGGCTCAAACCTGCAACCTTCTGATTACGGGCACTCAACTCCTGTGCCACCGTCGCCCACATTATATTTGTGTTAAACCTGTTAAGTCAAATGTTTGGTTTGGGGATGCACCAATGTGACATTTTTGGGCCGATACCGATATTAGTATCACCGTTATGGTCGATAACAGATTTTGTATAGAATGAAAATGAATAAAGCTGAATTTATGTTATTATGGATAGGGATGCACCGATACAATACTGGTATCGGTATTGGCACGATTGGTAAAAGTTAACCGATACCAATGCAGCTGCTTGAAAATGGCTTCACTGTAACTTGTCATTTCTGTTCACCTGATATTTTAGTTTTGTGATGATTTCTATTCATATATTTTACTTTTTATCGACCTCACAGTCTTTTCCTGTTGAAAGCAGAGAAGAAAATAAAATCTGTAGTCCAAATCATTGCATTTTTTGTGTGGTAGAAGTATTGGTAATCTGTATCGGTGAGTACTCAGATCCAATTATCGGTATCGTATCGGTTTGGAAAAAAGTGGCATCGTTGCATCCCTAATTATGGACACACGACACACATTTACACTTCTGAGATGATTACCATCACTGTCACATGACTAAACGAATACACATCGCCCCCTCACCCTCTGAAACCGATAAACAAATGGAAACAAGATGGAAAAAATATCGGTTGTTAATATCGGCCCAGTTTTATTTATCTTATTGATACCAAAATGTTGAAATTGACAAACATCGGCCGATCCCGATATTGTTGCTGATCTATTGTGCATCCCCAGTTTGGTTCTGTACCTAAAACACGTTAAATATGTTTCATCTCATACAAAACACATTGTTTAACATTGATGAATGTAAACAAGTATGTTGTACTTTGAAGTTTTTGAAGATTATATAAATTATTAAACATCAAAGTAAATTTGAGTGAATTCTTTTTGTCTTTTTGTCTTTTGTGCAGTTTGACATGCTGTTAGGAAAACTAGAGAAGGACGGCAGCAGGAAGGTAAAAGGACCGAGTCTGTGCTTCTAACTGGCTTTTTCCTGCTCCCCTTAAGTCCTCCTCTTTCTGACCAACGTTGTCTCCTGTTTGGGCTCTTTGTTTTGCTCAGCCAGTCATCGTCTGCTTTAATGCACCTCTGCCTTCTTTTTGTTGTTGTTGAGAGTTTTAAGGTGGATTAAATTTGATTAAATTAGTCGTTCAGAAACATAAAAGCTGAAACTAGAATAAATACCAAACTCCTGAAGCTGTTTTAAAAACGTCCTTAAATAGGACTGAATACACACCCGAGCTGCAGGACTCTGGTAATCCCGAACTCTCTTCCAGCCTGGCGTCATAGATAAGTTTGCAGGCGACACCCGAGCGATCATTAGCAAAGTGGCTCTCGAAGCAGAGAACAAAGGCTTGTTTGAGGAGGCGGTCAGACTCTACGAGCTGGCCAAGGTGAGCAGAAGCTGCTGATTTTTGCAACCTCCGAACTGTTGAGTCGTCTGATTCGTGTTTATCGCTGCTGCGTAGAACCCAGATAAGGTGCTGGAGCTGATGAACAGGCTGCTGAGTCCAGTCATCGCCCAGGTCAGCGCACCTCAGTCCAACAAAGAGAGGCTGAAAAACACAGCCGTGGCTATAGCTGAAAGGTACACACACACACACACACACACACGTTCGGGTTGGAATCTACTTACAAATGTCTGAAAGCGACTCTTTTCTTGTTTTCGCGGCAGGTATCGTTCACAGGGAGTAGCAGCTGAGAAGACGGTTAACAGCACCTTTTACCTGCTTTTGGACCTGATGACGTTCTTTGATGAGTACCACACAGGTCACGTGGACAGAGCCTACAACGTGAGTGCAGCTCTGACGACGCAGAGAGAACCCCCGAAGTCCACCAACTAGAAGGGATTTTCATCGTTTTTGCATGTTTTCTATGTAAAAGTTATAATAATTACCGTAATGCCTGTTGTCGAGAAACAGCTCATATTTTAAAATGGCTCAAATCTCCAGAATGCTATTTTTATAATATGTAGTAAGACTAATCGTGTAAGACACGATGCCTGAACTGGCTGCCAACGTAAAACTTGTTTTAGTTTTGATTCAGATTTTTATATTTTAAAACCTTAAAACACATTTTTATATTAAAATATCTGTGAAAATGAAATCAGTGCAAAAGTAAAAAAAAGTGTTTGGATGCAAATTTTAGAGAGTTGGAGCTCCTTTGGACTGGCTGTTAGCTTATCAGTCCTAAAGGGTGTACTCTGTTTCTCTGAACAGATGCTGTTCAGTATAACGACTAACATGTGAATTATTTATACCTTTTACAGAGAAATGCACTTAAGTTGGCAACAAGTGTTTTTAAAAACGATGCAGGAGAACGTACGGGTTCGCTGTCAGATCTAACGATGAGTGTTTCCTGTAAGGTCATGGAGCGCTTAAAGCTGCTTCCTCTCAGTCAGGACGGCGTGGAGGAGCGAGTCGCTGCTTTTAGGAACTTCAGCGATGAGGTTTGAAGACTTCTGACCTAAACATGCAACACAGCTGCAGAGTTTAGTTGTGTTGTCATAAAAACCAGTTTGTGTCTCCAGGTGCGTCACAACCTGTCTGAGGTGCTGCTGGCCACCATGAACATCCTCTACACCCAGTACAAACGCCTGAAGGCGGCGCCGGCGGGCACACCAGCACGATCCCAAAGGGCCATCGAAGACAAAGGGATGGTGAGTTTTAAACCTGAGAAATGTGGAAGCAGCCCAAAAGCTGGATTTGAATCCGTTTGATCCTCTCAGATTTTTAATTCTCTTCGTTTTTGTTCCAACAGCAGCTGCACAGTCAAGCCAGAGCCCTGATCACCTTCGCTGGTATGATTCCCTACAACATGGCTGGAGACACCAATGCAAGACTGGTTCAGATGGAATTACTGATGAACTGATGCAAAACTTAAACACACACACACACACACCCATCTGTGTTTCATTTTGTTTTTATATTTCGTTTTGTGACGTTTCACCCGTCTGAGTTTCGTCTGTTTAAGTTTCGTTTCGTTTGTACCCTCTCGAGATTGGAATAAAAATCTTTCTGTTGTCTTTTCTGTTGAATTCATTTCATTTATTATTTTTCTACTATAACTGATTCATCGTTAGTTTCATGCTGCCACTTTTTAAATGTTTTCTCGGTCCAGAGTCGTGTCTGAGCCTGCTGGGAGTTAGGAGTGTGTGGTTCGTTCACCACGTACCATAGACGGTGACCTTTTGACCTCTTGTACCACTTTAGAGTGTGCTTAGCTCCCTGGCTACCACCATCTACCACCACAAGCACAACTAATGCCAAGTTTAATTACAAATGAGGGAACAAGAGCTTGATCAGTTCTTAATGAGACGTTTCACTCGACACTTAATAGATTTTAAATCCAAAAAAACAGAAGAAAAGGAGCACAAACTTGCTGTGGTGAGTTTCACATTCTGTGATCAGAAGAAAAATGATTTGGTTTTATGCTAAAGGGCAGCAAGTCATAAAATGTCAAAGCGTTTCCAGACAACCGTAGAAGAACTTGCTCTGCTCCACTGGGTCGGGTGGCGTTGCCACAGGCTGCAGAGTCTGGCACGCCGCGTCTCCGGGCAGATTGTTGGCTGCTAACTCAGCCAGGAGCCCAGAGGGGTCGTTTTTGGATCTCTGCAAACAAAAAGGAGACGTGTCTGGAAAACACCAAAGGGTCTTATCTAAATCGCTGCCCTGACCTCCCTTAAGTGAACATTTTCACTTCTGCAGCCAACCTGAACACATCCGTCCATCGTTCAGCAGCAGAGCCCAACATCAGCTGAAGTTCACCCTCCATTTTTAGCCCTGCAGCTAGAAGTTTGGCCAAGCCTTTGTCCCTCAGCCTGGCCTGAGAAAACACAGATGGAGGCTCGTTCTGTCCTGGATTCGGACTAAAATGGGTCGAGCACAAAGTGCTTCTCGTCGTGCTCGAACATCTTTTCTACCACAAAAATAAAAACGGTGCCACTCACTTTAAGCCATTCTGCAGAAAACCTGGAGGGTGATCTGTGTCTTTAAGATTCAGAAGCTGGTGACTCCATCAGTGTGGTGGTTCCATCTTCCTGCTCCTCTCTGGATTCTGCACCTGCAGCAGCAGAAGCATCAGCCTCTCAGGTGTGTGTGCCGCAGCTGGTGTTGTGAATCAGGCCGATGACAGACGCCTCCTAGAAGCCGGCTATTTCACAACACCAGGGTGGCCCCACATCGCTGACGACGAGACCACCAACCTCCGCTTGGGAAGAAGAGGGCTGCACTGCAAATCCGTTTTATGTTGCTTTTATTTAAAGATCTAGAGTCAGCTTGCAGTTGCATCTGCATGAAGGCTCGTTGTGTTTTTGAGTGATTTCTTGTGCAGAAAGTCTAGTAAATCCTTAAAAGCTGTAATCTTATTTTATGAGAGAAGAGCAGCAAACCCGTTTCATCCTTTCATTCAGTGATGGAAAGGTTTCGGTGTTCGGAAGCAGATGGTCGACCCTCAGAAAGGAGAAAGTCCTGCCTGATGAGAATAAAGCCTTCAGGGTGCAACGAGTTGGCACAAATACCACGGCCTACTTATGGATTCCCTCAGGATATCTAACCTGCTGGCATTAAAATGGATGCTCCAGCTTTTATTAACCATCTGAGTTGTTATTGGACATTTTGGCTTTTCATACATGAGCACCGACTTTTAATGTGTTTATTTTACTGGATAATAAAGTTGTTCCGGAGTGAGTTTCATCGTTTCAGTTGTAAATGGGATGAAGTTTTCTGAACGATGAGCCATTTTTTATTTACTGTGGTGAAAGTTTTTAAGTCGCGGGATTAAAACGAATAATTCTGTCTGGATCATAACTATTAGAAAGTTTTAACTGATTAACACAAAGTCAGACTTAAGGCTCTTAAAGTTAAAGAGTGTTATAATTATGACAAAGCCTTACAAATGTGTTTAAAAATCCTAAGATACAAATTCCTATTTTTGAGGTCATAAACTCAAAGATACTTTATTATTAATCCCAGAGGGAATGTGAAAGTCAAAGTCGTAATAAAACATGACTTTAGAAGTAGATTATTTTTACATTTCCAGACATCCAGTTTGCTCATTTTAAATCACATTCATGACTTTTTAAGTCGTTTTTTAAAAAAATGCAAAATTTAGATAAACTAAGTGGTGAACTGGTGCCACACACACACACACACACACACACACTGGAGTGTATCTTAAGTTTGTAAATGTAAATTTTATTATACAAAATCATATTTAGGACTTAAAAGTCACACGGTTTTAAAAATCCTAATCTGAACTATTTTATTATTCAGGCGGTGAAAGTGCAGCAAATCATTTTTTCACAGTTTGATCTAAAAATAAAACTATAATGACAGTAAACTTGTTTCTTTTATTTGGCGCTAAAATGTCAAACCCCTGCAAAAGTTAAGGTCAAAGGTCATAAATGGCTTTGATTTCAATTTAAGTTGGAATAAAACCATTAATTTTACCAAAGCGATGCAGTTCACCACATCATGCTATGAATAAATGATCCACGAGGCATAAAAGCGCGTTTGAGGTGAACTGGGCGTGTCTAACGAGGGCTGATGAAAAGCAGCTCAGGTGTTTCTGATTGCAGAGCAGCAGGTGCTGAAAACGACTGGAAGGCAGAAGAGCATCCTGAACGCCCTCAGATATCATACTAGAGCTACGATTTTCTCATTTATTTTACAGAAATGATCCTAATCGACCTAAAGGTGGGTGTCAGCACCATGACCAGAAATCACTCTCCGTGTAAATGAGTGAAAACGTTAAAACGCTTTTCTGCTTCCAGCTGGTCCTTGTGTTTTTCCTCAGCTTGATGCACCACAGAGTGGATGGTAAGAGGGACAAAAATCCTGAATGTGTGTGAATTAAAACAGAAGTGGAACCAGTAATTTTCCCTGCAGGACTCTGCAGCGTGGAGCATTGCTCCGACCCAACGAGATGTGTTCTGTCTGAAGACCAGAAAAGCTGCAGGTGTGCTGCAGGATTTTATTCTGACCGCTGCGACAAAAGTAGGTGTTCAGTTATGTTTTTATCTTGTTTGTACAGCAGGTCATAATAACCTGCATCACATCTTTAATGAAGATAACATAACAGGGAAATTTCAGATTAAACAGAAAATTAGAATTCAGACAAACCATGAAGTCTTTGGTGTTTGGTTTATTCGTCTCCTGCTAAAGTAAACTTTAAGAGTCGTGGGAACTTGCTCTGCAGGGAGCAGGTCTGGTCCTGATTAATCTCAGATTATTATTCTGCTGCAGAACAGGTTAATCTATAAGCAGGATGTGTGTCTGCGTGTTGGATTGTTCAGAGGAGCAGAACGAGGAGTTGTCAGAGGTTTAAACTCACCGCCGTTGGTTTCTTTTTGACTTTTACTCTTAACTCAGAAATTCTGGGATGGCCTTCCTCGCTGGTTTATTTGCCACGATTAGTCGTCATTTTGTGATCATTCTGTGTTTTAAAGTTAAGTTTTCTTTAAACGCGTGATCAAGGGAGTCCTTTAAGTCTACATACTTTTGGAATAACTAAAGTTCATTTTTGTGAGTTAAAGTTTTTCCTCTTTAAAGATGTGGAACACAGAAAAGCTTATCTAGCCAAATATCAGGAAATAAGACTCTGTGGACCAATCCCACTCGCCCTTCCAGTGTGCGATCCCGACCAGGGCTGCGAGTGCGTAGCCTGCCCTGATTCTCAAGTGCGGACGTTGACCACACCCTTTCGTACCCTTGATCCGCACTACGCCCAAGTCTGCATCAATGCGGACTAGGGCGTAGTGTATTACCCATAATCCATTGCTGCGGGGGAAAGGCTCAAGTGCCTTTTCTGGAGAATTGTTTTAATTTTAGTGAAAGTAGTTCATATTAGTTCATATTGGGGCGATCAGTTGGTTTTTAGGAAAAATGACAATAAGAGAATTTCAGATAACTCTTGGGTTGTTTGAAAGTTAATAAAGATTTAAAAGTATAAAGGCATCCAGCATACCAGCATGCGTTTTGGTTGATTTACGCAATGCTACCGTCTTAATTTGGCAATTATTTGCACACTTGTGCACCACGCACTGGAAGCCTCACCGCACACGTTCTCCAAGTGCGCTTTGCTGAAGACCGCGGGGATTGGGCCTAAATAGCGTGACCTGAAGCTCGGCTTTTTGATGTGGCTTTCTTCTAGTTCCTGAAAATGGTGCATCAGTGTTTTTCTTCCCCAGCGTACGACTCACAAGGCATTCATTCCTACTAGAGGCCGCTGCAGATGTATTGATTTAATGAGTAACGCCTTTTAATGTGAAAAATGTTTTTCAGAAATGCATAAAAATTGAAATGCACTCCCTTTCTGTATAATTCTGCTAGGTGCACATATTAAAGTCATGTGTGGTAATGACTACATGGCGATCAGAGCAACAGAAGCCTTCTTCATGCACCACAAAGTGCCGCTAGAATCCCTCCACTTGCCCAACGCCTCCTGTCGTGCTCAGAGAGAAGTCATCAACCAAATCCCGTACTACATGTTCAAGATCTCCCAGGAGAAGTATTTGACTTGTGGAGGGACTCCACTTAAGGTACAGCAGTTGCATAATTTATTTTAAACGTCCAAAGAAGAGTCTTGACTCCTTTTTGTTCACCTGTTCCAGAAAAATGCAACCCACTTCCTTTATTCTGTGAGCATCCAATCAGATGGTCAGGTTACTGGAAACATCATCAGAGATCCTGTCATTAAGATGAGCTTCACATGCATTTATCCATACGTCCGAAGAGTTGGCCTTCCTTTTCCCGTCTTTCCTGTCTCCAGGTAAGCAGTAACAAACGTAAGCCCGGATTTATTTCTTCTTGATCATTTCCTGACTGTTTTCAGTGAAACGGTGATGCACGTGGACGAGATGGACGCCACGATACAGATGACGTTGTTTTCTGACCCGATCTTCTCAAAAGCCTACACCAGCGCTCCAACTATAGAGCTCAAAGACAAGGTGGGCCGTTAAACGCTCTTCCAGATGTGACGGGTTTTGTTTTGACGCGACTCTTAATTTTTGGCTTAGCAACGAAAGCTAGCAAAGAAAAACTAAGCTAATTAAATGTTTAATGACCAAAAACTATTTGGAGAAGTGAATGTTAAAGGTGCATTATGTAGGAATGAAGTAAAAATGACACCCTGAGGTAAAATGTGGTTACTGCAACCCTTTTAAACAATTTTGGAGCTTTTTGACGGCCGCCATCAAATTGTCTCGCCGGAGACATGGCGACCCCACGCTCACTGATGGTAAAACGTTACGGCCCCCCTTCCTGGTTTAGAAAGGAGAAAAACTGACAGTCCCCACAGCCAGCTGGATGTGAAATGTTTCAGGATAACCTTCCTTCCTTTGGGATTTTCACATAGTAAAATTCTCACTATTCTTACATACTGCACCTTTAAAAGAAGAAAAATGAATGACTCCTTGATCTTTTATTTTTCAACCACAATTAATTTTTTTTTTATTATAGTTGGTTCATAATTTGGAATTAAACATCTTGTGCCTAAAAGTCCCAGAGCCAGAAATGTTTGCGTATGTTTTTGGAAATGCTATTTTTAATATTTTTGATTATTTTGGCAGATCTTAAATGGGATTTATAACAAATGTGTCCATCCAAAAGTCAGTAGCTTAACTAAATTCAGCTGCAAATGACTTGAAACTCCATTTAAATAACAAGGGGACATTTAAAGGTTTATAGAGGGAAAGACCGTACGGAGTATGAATTTAACTTGAATTTAACTCGAACCTATCTAGACCAGGATTGTGGGTGCAGGAAAAACGTGCACGACCAGGACTCGAAAGCCCTGCTAGACGGCGTGTTTACAGGAGAAAACATGGATGCTGCACATGTTGGTTTCAGTTCACACATGTTCATGTAATCGGAGCAACAAAAGGATGACCAAGTCGGTCATAAATGACCTGTACTTGTATAAGGTCTTTGTGACTAAACCTCTAAACACCACAGCGAGTTATTCATCCATTCACCCACGCTGACGGTGATGAGCTACGTTATAGCTACAGCTGTCCTGGGGCTCCACCTCTTCCTCCGACCACTACCAATAGGCAGAGAGGGTTACTTGTCTTGCTCAAAGACACAATTGCAGAGTTCCCTGCTGGGGTCGATCCTGTAACCCTTTGATTATTGGACAACCCCTCCTTCGCTACTGCTGCTAAGTGATAATTAGCTTGTTTTGTTCATTGTTTGGACTTGATCCTGCAACTGCAGGTTCGTGTGGTTCAGACTGTCACAATAAACCAGATGAGTCCAATAAGTCAGATTTTTGCCACTTCTTTTGGGTCATTTTCTTGCGATCTCAGAAAGCGATACGTTTCCCCTTCTGGCAGCTTGATAAATACTGAGAATGATCTCTGGTACCAGATTTGAGCTCAGCATCTGCAGGCTGACTGCTGGTGGAGTCCTGTAGTAGTCTAACATCGTTTTTGGATCAGTTGACCCTAGTTGTGTTTTTCTAGGTGTACGTTGAGGTGTCCGTCACCGAGCCTGCAGATTACTTCCTGCTTCAAATCAATGAGTGTTGGGCCACTCAGTCTCCTCAGCCCAACTCTACAAACGGACTGGTCCACAGTCTGATTCAGAACGGGTCAGAACTCGTACATTAATCATTCATGTTGCCTACTTTTATTCTGTGAACTAAGTCACCCCGCCCTCCCCAGCTGTGTGAATGACCGGACAGTTTCCTTCCTCGACTTGGGTGATGAAACATCTGGACAAAACGGAAAAAGCTCCACCGTTCGTTACAGCTTCGACATGTTTCGCTTCATAACGGAGCCTCACGAGCTGTATCTGCACTGCACCGTGCAGCTGTGTGAGCTGGACGACCAGAAGTCCTGCGTACCCGTGAGCCATCTCAGATCAGAGAATATGGATTTGTTTTTGTGACTTTTGAGGATCTTCTTCCACATTTCTGTTCGTTTTCTCCCCAGAGCTGCAGTTCGATCAGTAAGAGAGAAGCCGTGCGAGAGTTTCCCAACCAGGGTCTCCTGTCTTATGGACCAATCAGGATTGAAATGCCAGACAGACCTCAATCTAGTGAGATCTTCTTTTCATTTCTCTTTCAGTTTTATCCTGCTGCTTTGGTGACTATCGTCTCTCTTTAAGGCCTGCTGACAAAGGTGGTACTGCCTGTGGCTGGCGTGTGGATTCTGGGCTTCTTCCTCACCATCCTCATCACTGTGGCAAAGGCAGGAAGCAGAAGGATAGCAAAAGTAGAAGAGCACTGACGATCAAGCTGCTGCTTTCAGCAGCATGAATAAAAATGTGAAAAAAATATTTCACTCCTGAATTCTTCTTTCTAAATGATTAGTTCCTACAAACGTTCTGTTGCACGTTTACGACCGCCCTTTAATTGACCTTTTTATTTAACCAAGAAACCCTTCAGGATGAAACCTTCAGAAGAGCTCAGGGTGTTCTTGAAGCACGTAGCTGTTGTGGCTGCATGCTTCGGAGCCCCCAGGTATGTGGGATGGGTTTTACCTTTAAAGGTGCATTATGTAGAAATGAAGTAAAATTGCATCCTGTGGTAAATTCGGTTACTGCAGCCACTTTAAACAACTGGAGCTCTTTGTCGGCCGTCAAATTATGAATGTCGGCGCTGCGTGCAGCATTCGCTCGCAGGAGACCTGGTGCCCCACACTCACTGATGGTAAATGGTAGTTCCAACCCTCTTTGTTTTGAAAGGAGAAACTGGCCATCCCTGCGGCCAGCTGGAAACGAAATGTTTCAGCACTGCCTTCCTTCCAAAATGACTGAAACATGACTCTGTTGGGATTTTCTCAATGTAAAATTCTCTATATTCTTACATACTGCACCTTTAATCATGCAGGATGGCAGTGCAGTTATTGCATCCTCCATAGAGAACGTGATTTAACGTCAATACCAATAGAATACTACAGGAGTCTGCCGACACGTTTAGCTGTGATTCTGAGTAATTATCACCTGCAGTGAACAGTAATCAGACATGTGACTAAAATGTTCTTTTTTGTGCTCATTTGTTGAGGTGCATTCAAAGTCCTCATAAATGACAAAAAAAAATCCCATAATAAATAAATAAATAAATAAATAAACGCGAACAGTTCAGCGTCTAAATTGATCAGCTGCAGTTCCCCACTATGACCAGCAGATGGCGCTTCTGATGCGGGTCCTGTTTACAAAGGGAGGGGACGCGGGGGGGGTCGGAGAGTCGTTCATAACTTTCGTCATCTCAGGATGGTCCAGGATTATTTTCACGGAAGTTCCCATCGGTCGGCCGCTGTTTTCTTGCGTGTGAAAGGTTTTCGGAGCGGATTTGAACCGAAACTCGAGCCACGAGACGAAGAGATGGTTTATTTGATCTAGGTCTATTCTAGAAGCTGCGCCGTTTGTCTCTGGTGTGGGAAACCAGCGATGAGCACTTGTTGCACAGGTTTGTGAGTGAGTAGGTACAAGAGGAGGAGACTTGCTGTCTTCATCATCATCATCATCAGTCACCTCCTGGCTCTGAAGGCTGTGGTCGGAGGAAGATGGCATCCCAGCTGCTCTGGAGAAACACCATCATCTTCATCACATCTTTGTTTTTAGGTCCTCTGTTGTTCTGCAGCGCTGAGGCGGAAGTCCAGGAGGGAGGAAGGGTCAATGTGGAGGTACAGTGGTGGAAAAAAGATGTTTAATGCAGAAAATTAATAACCGCCATGTTTTCGGCTTCAAATGCAGCGTGTTGGGGTCTGAGATAAAAACACACACACAAGGAGGGGAGGAGAATAAAAGCGGGGTGTGTGTGTGTGTGTGTGTGTGTGTGTGTGTGTGTGTGTGTGTGTGTGTGTGTGTTTAAAGTCAGAATGATGCAAACGTTCCAGAATAAAAGTTTAATTGATTCTTTTTAAATATGTTATTTGAATCTGAGATTTCTGAGTGTTTTAAACTTTATAAAATCATTTTATTTAACTTCAGCTGAAGTATTTTGACTTCTTCCTTTGCAGAACTTCCCTTGACCCTTCACAATAAGAGCCTCAAACAGGGTGTTGTTATTCTTTAAATCATTGTTCTTACTGGCACTCACACTCGAGAGCTCAGTGGAGTTTGCTTCTTTAGACCTTTTTCTTGCTGGAACAAAGAAACGTAACCCATACGCTTCGCTTGTGTTCCTCCTGCTCCTGACATGCTGGCCGACATTTATAGAGAACATAAAAGATGTTAACAGATCTCCAGTCTGGACCAGTGACAGTGGTTCTGGACTCTGGAGGGTTTGGTGCTGCACAGGTTCTTCTGAGAATTGATTTCAGACTTGAGTCTGATTTAAAGTCTCGTCTAAAAGTACTAAAATAGTCTCTTAAGGATTTGTTCTCTTGCCGTTGGATGTGTGCCTGAGCTCATGGTGTGTTTACATAAAACTCAGCTGAACAGCCTGCAGAGGCATTTTAAACCCTCCGGAGCCGTCGTCTGGCTACTGGCTCCTCTTCAAACAAAGGATAACGAGTGAATTTAGCTTCATGTATGTTTACGCGTTTTCCTGCAGACTCATGAAGATGAACCAGTATAAAAATTCAGCTTTTCCTGTTTTCAAGCGCATCTCAGGAATGAAGGAGCAGGAATGTTTTCATGCTAATGGGAACCATCTGGTTCATCTCTCCTTTTCTGTTCTGCTAACACTTTCCAGCTATTAGACAGTGATTTGTTTCTCGGTTACCACGACACCGTTTCTTCCACTTGTGTATAAGTACTTGTATACTGTATAAGTACTTGTGTATATTTACCGTATTTTCCGGACTGTAAATCACACTTTTTTTCATAGTCTGGCCGGGCCTGCGACTTATGTACCAAAATTATGAAGGCTAAAAACACACAGCCATCACCTGCTGGAGCCTGTGGCGCACCGTTACGCACCTGACCCGGCCCACGTTTCAGCTCCTCTGCCCCGCCTTCACCTGCCGGAGCCTGTGGCAAGCTGCTGTGGGCCGGCTCCGACCCAGGAATGAGCTCCCCTGTCACACTGGGAGGGTTCCAAACACCTCCATCCTCTGCTGGAGACCGTGGCGCGCCGTTTATTCTGTTATTTTGTTACCGGTACCGGCAACGGTGTTTGACCGCGTCCCTCGGGGGGGCCTGTGGGGGGTACTCCGGGAGTATGGGGTACCAGGCCCTCTGATACGGGCTGTTAGGTCCCTGTGAGACCGGTGTCAGAGCTTGGTCCGCATTGCCGGCAGTAAGTCGGGCTCGTTCCCAGTGAGAGTTGGACTCCGCCAAGGCTGCCCTTTGTCACCGATTCTGTTCATAACCTTTATGGACAGGATTTCTAGGTGCAGCCAAGGTGTGGAGGGCATCCATTTTGGTGGCCTGAGGATCAGGTCTCTGCTTTTTGCAGATGATGTGGTCCTGTTGGCTTCATCAGAACGTGATCTTCAGCTTTCGCTGGAGCGGTTCGCAGCCGAGTGTGAAGCAGCTGGGATGAGAATCAGCTCCTCTAGATCTGAGACCATGGTCTTGATTCAGAAAAGGGTAGAACGCCTTCTCCGGGTCAGGGATGAGGTCCTGCCCCAAGTGGAGGAGTTTAAGTATCTCGGGGTCTTGTTCACGAGTGAGGGAAAACTGGAGCGTGAGATCGATAGACGGATTGGTGCTGCATCTGCAGTGATGCGGGCGTTGTACCGGTCTGTCGTGGTGAAGAGAGAGCTGAGTCAGAAGGAGAAGCTCTCGATTTACCGGTGGATCTACGTTCCTACCCTCACCTATGGTCATGAGCTTTGGGTAGTGACCGAAAGAACGAGATCGCGGATACAAGCGGCCAAAATGAGTTTTCTCCACAGAGTGGCTGGGCTCTCCCTTAGAGATAGGGTGAGACGCTCGGTCATTCGGGAGGGGCTCGGAGTAGACCCGCTGCTCCTCCACATCGAGAGGAGCCAGTTGAGGTGGCTCGGGCATCTGGTCAGGATGCCTCCTGGATGCCTCCCTGGTGAGGTTTTTCCGGGCACGTCCAACCGGGAGGAGACCTAACGGTAGACCCAGGACACGGTGGAGGGACTATGTCTCTCACCTGGCCAGGGAACACCTTGGGATTCCCCCGGAGGAGCTGGCCCAAGTGGCTGGGGAGAGGGAAGTCAGGGCCTCTCGCCTTAGGCTACTGCCCCCACGACCCGACTCCGGATAAGCGGATGAAACTGGATGGATGTTTGTTTGTTTGTTTGTTACCGGTACTTGTCTTGCAATGTGAAACGCTCGGTCTCAGATTTTGTAAGATAAACAATAAAATTTCCCTCCAAAATGCGACTTATAGTCCGGAAACTACGGTAAATATTTTATTGTTCTTCCAAACAGGCGTGGCTTCGCCGGTTCGGTTACCTGTCCCAGGCGAGTGGACAGACGTCCGGCCTGCATTCAGCTCAGATTTTATCCAAAGCCATCAGCGACATGCAGCGCTTCTACGGGCTGGAGGTGACTGGAGAGGTGGACGCTGCCACCGCGACGTAAGATCTACACACGTCATGTTTGAAACTTTACCGTCGATTCCTCTAGCGGCCGTTGTGTTCGTGTGTGTGCAGGACGATGCGCCGACCTCGCTGTGGCCTCCCTGACAGAAACCCAGAGAAGGTGGTCAACGCAGCGAGGACGAAGCGTTACGCTCTCACGGGTCAGCGATGGGACAAGGACCACGTCACCTACAGGTCTGAAAGTCACACAAAGGAACCAGTCATTGTGCAGATGCAGCTCTGATGAGTCATCTTCCGATTCCAGCTTGAGGAACTACCTCCCGTTGCTGGGGAACGACCGGACCGATGATGCCATCCGCAGGGCCTTCGACGTGTGGAGACGGGTCACGCCGCTCACCTTTGAGGAGATAAATATTAAAGACGGCGTAAACGGCAGCCAGGCCGAATTTGGTGACATCCTGATGTCTTTTGGCTCTGGTTTCCATGGCGATATGTCCCCGTTCGACGGTGAGGGAGGGTCGCTGGCTCATGCCTACTATCCTGGGCCGGCTCTAGGAGGAGATATCCACTTTGATTCTGATGAGCCATGGATGCTGGACAACGAGAACCCGAAAGGTCAGAGCGGGTTGACCTTTTCTAGTTTTTGGCAACACGATCATCATGTTAGAAGAACATTTGAACAAGTTCAGTATGTACTAGAAAACCTCGTCAGAGATGGTCCTCTGTGTGTTTATGTGGTCTCACCTTGCAGGTATAGACTTCTTCTTGGTTGTGGTCCACGAACTCGGTCATGCTCTGGGTCTGGAACACTCCGATAACCCCCACGCTACGATGGCTCCTTTATACCGGTGGATCGACCCGCAGAACTTCACGCTGCACGAGGACGACGTCAGAGGAATACAGTACATTTATGGTAGGAAGCATCCTGCTCCACCCCGTTGTTGTAGCTCCGCCCACCCACATCCTCAGAGCCCAAATCTGCCCGTCGCATTAACGATTCGACTAAAGAAACCCAGATGTTTGTGGTGAAGTGTAAACCTCGTGTTTTTGGCGTGAAACTCCTGCAGCTTTGCTTCTGAGCAACCGTGAAGTTTAAATCTTCATCACGCTCGGATCTGGACCCTCGTGCGTGCTCGTTAGCATCTACAGAACAGGCAACACGAGAGACGTCGTCGTGCTCTCATTTCTCCTGGAGCAGGTGTGTGTGTGTGTGTGTGTGTGTGTGTGTGTGTGTGTTTGCTCCAGACTTTAGACACTATCTTCTTTAATTAGCACAAAAATCCTGTTGGTGAAGACGACGTAAATAAGAGAAACTCTGCTGTAAACACAATGAGGTAAAAGCTTCTTTTAAACAGATCTGAGGGAAAAGGTGACTCAACAGAACCTGAACCATGATCTGCTCTTTTGTTGTTGCGCGTGTGTTTGCTCTTATTCTAGTGACACCACGGAGACGTTTGAGCAAACGTTTACTAAAGATTATCACCCAGATTTAGTAGAGAAGTCTGCATTAGAGGAACGTGTCTGTATGCAGAGACAGACCATCGGGTACCCAAACAAACCAACAAAATGCTTTTAATATATTCCACGCTGTAGTTCTGTTTTAAAACACACAACTGAGCGTCAGCCTGAGGAAGTTTGCAGCCGCAAACGAAACGTAGCGGGAAAACAGGTAAACAAAACTGTTCTGTGTGTTTTAAAAACGAACTACAGCATGGGATTCATGGACGTAATTTTGGGGGGGGGACAGGGGGGACATGTCCCCCCCACTTTTTCCAAAGTCAAGCTTTGACCCCTGCACTTTTTACCATCCAAAAACAATATTACGCTGTATTAAATTGACACTGGTTGAGCTCTAGGACCAAGCAGAAAACAACCGTTTGGGTTGAAGCCTGTTTCCCATTAGAGCATACTGTAAAGATAACCCCCCCCCCCCCCGTGTCCCCCCCACTTCTAAAGTGAAAATTGCATCCATGATGGGATTAGAAATACGACACAGCAGGAACACACCTCAGAGGCTTTTAATATATGTTTTTATTTGCAGGTGCAGCGGCTCCATCTTTACGTCCCTCGTAAGGAGACCGTGACTCAGTTTCCATCGTGTTGTGATGGAAACAGCCTCCCATCTTTAGTTATCCCTCAGGAACTCCGTGTGGCTCAAAACCCACTAAAGTTTTTACGCAGAGTTCGTTGTGTGAATCTGGAAAAACCCGCAGCAGCAAACAGTTTCCACACGTCCACCGTTAACCGAGATAATGACCACAAACATAAATGTTTGGAGTCTTTCTCCAGAGCCGTGTCCATGACTTTTAAAATGGGGTGGCCCATGTGGGGCACTTGTTTATTCATGGGTGGCACCAATGGTTATGCTTATTTATTTATTTACACAAATCATTTATTTATTTATTTGCTATCTAGTGACTTTTTGAGTTTCATATTGCACAATCACCTTTTTTTCCCTCTTCATCTTCTACTTTTGTGGTGGTTAGCAAGTCACTTCTTGTTGCATTACTGCCACCAGCTGGAGTTGAGTGGGACTCTAAATATTATGTATGTGAATATGAAAAAATATTAAATACTAGTAATACTACATGCCTGGGCTAGAAAACAAGGTTAAAGGTGCATGCAACCACACTATTTTGGAGTTTACAACCCAAGCCTGTTGTCGACAATGTAAAGTCAATTTAAACTGGAACTTAGTGGGGTGGCACCTGGGGTGGCCAATCAGATTCTAAGGGTGGCATGTGCTACCCCAGGCCACTCCCTGGACACGCCCCTGTCTTTCTCATTTTGCTGAAAAGCTCGTAGAGTCGAGACGCGGTTCTGGTTTCCACCCGCTGACGGCCGACGTCGACCCCGGCGAAACACGACTCTAGTTGGGCCGTGCACACACGCGTTGCGTAACGTCTCCGGCTGTGCGTTTGCGTCTCTTAGCAACCAGCGCTGCTGATTTGGAGTCGTTTCTGGAGAGCAGCGGCACAAAGATGCTTTTAGTTTTTTCATCTACTTTAAAAGCAAAAGGACTTAAATTTCCTCCTCTTTTTCGTTTACATTCATGCATTTTTGCTCATTCACGAGTCTGTTTATAGGACGGGATCATCCCCTTTTACAATAATACACGCAATAATCCCGTCATTCACCCTTCAAACCAAAATAATCTTATAATCTGACTCATTTTTCCGCCGTTCCACTAAAATAAACTCTTTCCCTCCATCTTGTCTTCCTCAGGGCCTCCTCTGCCCACTGCTCCTCCTGCCTCCGGGGACAAACCTGGCAGTGACCCCCCCACCTCTCCACCTCCTCCTGAAGCTGACGCCACCTCCGCGCCCCCCACCGACCCCCAGCCTGAAGCACCAGACCCGACTGAAGGCAGCCTGGATCCTCCGGCCCAGCCAGAGCCGAGCCCGACTTCACCCCCGGCTCTCCCCACTGAGCCCGAACCCGTTACCCCTCCCGTTAGAAAAGACACCCCCCCTCCGCCGAGGCCTCCCAACCAACCGCCTGACATCTGTGACGGGGACTTTGACACGGTGGCCATGCTGAGGGGCGAGATGTTTGTTTTCAAGGTGACACAAAATCCGATTTCAGGATCGGTGCATCCGTTCAGAAACGAGCAACAGAAGGCGTTACTGTGATTTCAGGGCCGTTGGTTCTGGCGCGTGCGAAGGAACCGGGTTCTGGATAATTACCCTATGCCGATATCCGTCTTCTGGACCGGTCTCCCTACGGACATCGATGCAGCCTATGAACGACACGACGGCAAATTCGTCTTCTTTAAAGGTACAGCCATCGTCTAGGAACCGCGTCCCAGATGTTTGGTTAGGTTTAGCACCTTCCTCAACACCTGGATTGTTTGCTCCGCCTGCTTCCTGTGTGATCGATAAGAACAAACCTCACCATGCACTTTGATGTGGATGCGGTGAAACGTTGCACACACAGCAGCTTGATTTGCACGGTGCCGACGGGCTGAGCTCACGTCATGAAAAAGGGAAGCGCTCCCTCCAGGCAAACGAGTCGCTCTTTAAACGTTCTGACAGTCTGGCT